TTGGGTCATGACAATGTGTATGTGTATATGTATCTGTTTCTGTTTGGGAAAAAATTGAGAATAAAGAATAGAGAACATAAAACAGAGAAGAGTAAAATTTTTAATTTCATCTTTCTCATTTTAATTTATTTTTTCTGATTTTGTTTCTCTCATATTTATCAGCTACGAACCCCTTTTTCTCTTTCTATTATTGTAGCCTATATATATAGATAGGAAAAATTAGTGAAACATCCCTCTTCAACTTTGTGTAGTGAGAGAGGTCCAAGTTGTTTTTTTTATTAGCCAAGGTCCTTCAACATTTTCACAGAAAAAAATTGACTTAGAGAAATTTTGCTCGACTCAGAGAAATTTCGGCCCCAACTCAAAGAAATTTTAATTTTCACAAAGAAATACCTCTGATTTCACAGAGAAGTTGAATTTTCTCTATAAAAATGTTGAGGGACTTTAACTATTATGAAAATATTATATGTCTTTTATCTTATCCGTTTGGCAAGAGCTAAACGGGACTTTTTTGGCTATTTTAGCCACAAAAGACAAAATAGGCTATTTTAGGCACAAAAAATAAAATATCACATCCAACCCATAATCATTACACTCTTCTCTCACAAAAAAAGCCAAAAAAGCCAAAAAGCCAAAAAGCCCTTCCCAAACCAAACTTTTTAGCCCAGGCTAAAATAGCCAAAAAAGCCAAAAAGTGAAAAAGCCAACCCACTTCCCAAACGGAGGCAAAATCTTAATATCAGGTACCTTAAAAAAAATTCTCATATATATATATATATATATTGTGCATATGGATGTATATATATGTATTTGTTTTTGAGAAAAATATAATTAAATGAAAATTAGATTAAAAAGTCAGAAATTAAATAAATATTTAGAGGGTTTTCTTCCCCCTTTTGATGGGTGATTATTATGTTATTTAATTGAATTAATGTTTTTTTTTATGAAAATGTATTGTTGCTGAAGTTACAGATTATGTGTAGAAGAGAAAAAGAGGGAAATAAAATAAGAGAAGCAAAAATTAGGTAGAAGGACAAAGGGTACCAAGCTAATTTTACATTATTTTTTAATGGTTTTAGAGTTGCAATTTAATTCAAAATCATAAAAGGATTGTCTGCCTATTTTTAAACAATAGGGATAAAGTTCCGGCCTTAAACCAAACTGCATTTTGCCCAATCTTAAATTATAGATCTCCAACATTTCTTTTTGCATATGCTCCATTTCTTGGGTTAATTGTGTTGTCTTCTATCAGCAATAATAAAGTAATCAATAATATTATTAAAAAAATATTAACAGGGATGAATTTAGAATCCTAACAATGGGGTGAATACTAACAAAAAAAAAAATTTATTGACTAAAACATCAATTTCTATTAGGGCTAGGCATGGGATTATCCAACCCGCCTACCTGAACCGACCCACACACATATGGGCGGTTTTGCAAACACAATAAGGTCGGGTGTAGTTTGGATTCTGACTGATTTTGGGATTGCGGGCAGATTGTGGGTTGTAACCACACCCGCCACAACCCGCCCGCATTAACAAATTTTTTTTTTTTTTTTTTTTTAATCTGGACCGTTCATCTATGCCCAAACAAACCAAAGTTAAATGTTGGTTAAGCTGGTTCATAATACTCTCTTGCTTTTTTCCTATTAATTACTGTGTGGCAGACTTTTGGGGATGGAGAAAAATATATAAATAAAATGTTCTTTAAGAAATGGAGAAGGAATGTGTTGCTTGATAATTTATGTACTGTGGTTGTTAAAAATATTTGTATATGTAGTAGCGTCTTTCGATTTGCACCTTATGAAATGATGCAAATATTTTCAAATTATTTGCTGATTATCCCACTTCATATGTCCAGTATCCATTTCATCTATACTTGGCCATACTTTTGTGGATGTCTAGATATTCCATGGAAATGAAATTAAATATTTTATTCAGTTTTCTGTGAATTCAAATTGGTAATATATATACAATCTGCTATATGATGTATAATAAATAGGATTGATGATCTAGTTTAGAATTTTGAAATATTTGCTTGTGTCAGTTTATGATTTAAATTAAGATTTTGAATAATTTGTTTGTGTTACAAATTGATTTTGTTATGTTTTTAATTTTCTAAGTTTTAATTCAATAATTATTAATGTTAGAGTATTTTAGAAAATGGGGGAATAAGGATTCAAAATAAATATTTACAAAATGGGGAAAAAAAAAAAAAAAGAGGCACAAAAATAAATTTTTGAAGAAAAAAGTTCAATTCGCAAACCGCCCGCAACTGCCCACACATCCGCAAACTCTATCTATACAAACCGCAAAATGCACTGCTGGCAGTTGCGGGTTGACTTTTCTCCAAACCGCATAAATGCAAGCTGGTCCAAACCGATCTGTAAATCGTTCAAATCCGAACCACAAACACCCCTAATTTCGATCAACAAAAAGAAAAAAAGAGTAAAAAATAATATGAAAAACATATATAAATAAGTCTTCTTTTTTTATATTTTTTTGTTGAATTACAAAAGACGGCAATTTTAAGACATTTTTTTAATACTAGTTGTGAGAAACAAAACTATTTTTTTTAAAGATGTTATCTTTAGCCCAAACTATTAACTTTTATACTTTGAACGTTATGTTTCATAGATATAGAATGCATGGATTGTGCAACTAATTAATTTTCCTTAAAACTTAGAGAGGGTGAATTTGTATAATTTAAAAATAATTAATAACTAATACTAATATATGAGTGAGTGAATTCGTAGGGGCCAATCACTTTTAGATCCATCATTGATTTCTGTGTATTTCTTACCGTCAGGGTCGGCCTTGGGCATAGGCTCACTAGGCCATGGCCTAGGGCCCTTTAAAATAGACCCAAAAAAGGGGCCCATTTTATTATAATTTAGTGTAATATATTAAGTATGTTTTAAGTCTCAAAAAAAATTAAAAAAAGCCCAAACTAACTTAAAATAAATTGACCCATTCAAAAATTGAAAGGCCCATTCAAAAAAATTAGCATTGTTATCCATTGACAGTAAACCCAAAAAATGGCGTCCTCCTATTATAGTTTAGTGTAATATATTAGGTATCTTTGAGGTCCAAAAAAAATTAAGGAAAGCCCAAACTAATTTAAAATAAATTGACTCATTAAAAAAATTGAAAGGCCCATTTAAAATAATTAGCATTGTTATCCGTTGAAAATGATTTTGCAAAAAAAGTAGATTATGCAAGTATGATAGATTTATTTGCTTATAAAAATGTAAGAAGAGCAAGAATCAAACGATACTTATTAGTTGTTATAATGTAATGCTAAGTATTTTTTGTAATTTTGACACAAATCTTTTGTCCTTTACCTTCAATATTTTTTTTTTCCATTTAATGAAAAAAAAAAATGTGAAGGGCCTCAAAAATTTATCAGTTGATTATCAGCTTTGGGCCTCGGAAATCTCAGAGCCGGACTTGCTTACCGTGTCTTACAAGGCGATGAAACCCATATATTTGTGAATTCTATAGCTTGTGAGAGAGGTAATGAGAAATATAGTACTACAAGCGATGCCCTACCATTTTTTTTTGAAAAGCGACTACGAATATTATTAAGCTTAAGTAACAAAAAAAGGACAAGATGCTCTACCATTATTAATAATATTATATGCTCTTTTTCTTTTGTCTTTTGAATTTATTATTTTTTTAACACTTTACACTTTATTATTTAAGCAATGAGAATCCAATTCCTAAAATAATCTTAGGGAGATTGAAAATTGAATGATAATTCAAATGGTCGCATTCCATTTCATTTTGTTTTTAAAACAAACATGGATAATATATATCCAGTCTTATATATCAAGTTAACAAACATGTATTGGGAGATATATTATCCAATACATATATCCTATTCATTATATATCCTAACTAAATCTCATATTATATTATATCCTCTATTTTATATCTAGTGAAACAAAGAGGGCCTATAAGTATAAAAGTTCACAACTAGATTAATAAATAACTTCTCTCTTTTCTTCTCCTTATATTTAATTTTATTTTGATCTACTTATAGGGAGCCCTTTTTTTAATATTTTATTTACCAAACACAAGTACTTTAAAAATAAAATTCTCATATCCAAATAATTTAATTTTTTTTTTGAAATTTAAAATATTTATGAGGTATTTTCAAAACACTGACTTCAAAGTTAAAGTAATATTAATTTTTTTTTTAATAATAAATTAGTTTAGAAAAAAGGACATTATGAAACAACTTGGGATATAAGTTTACAACTTGAATTTAAAAATTTTATTTTAAATAAAAAAAAAAAAGTTGGAGTTCGGTAAGAAACTATAGATATTAAGTCATATTTGTAGTTTCATTTTCTTTTTTTGGGAGTAAATTACACTAACCTGTTTTATAGTTTAGAAAATATACATAGAGTTTCACAAGTTTAACATAATATTGTTTGACACTTTTAAAGTTCACATAATATTTAGTCTTATTTTTATCAGTAATTTATTTTACTTTGAAATGTGTATTTTATCTTATTTTCTTTTGTATCAGTTTCAGGCACTTTAGCTCTACCAAAGAGAAGAATGGTATAATTATACCAAACTTATAAAGCTGATTATATATATGTATATAAATCTCGGAGATGATCATTCTAATTTACCTTTTTTTTTTTCTGTCTTAAAATTTCGAACTTTTATTTGCATTTATTTATTTGTGTTAACATAGCATCATTTTTTAATTAGAAAATTGTACAAAAAAAAAAATAAAAATTATACCCTGCTTACTTAGAGAACAGAGAGAACCATATACCCTGCTTGCTAGAGAGGGAGGGAGGGAGGGAGGGAGGACAGGCCCTGCTTGCTTTATACCCTGCTTTTCACCAACCAAAAAAATTATACAAAACGTTTGTCCAGAATCACATACCCTGCTTGCTAGGTAGGGAGAGAGGGAGGGAGGACCTTACCTGCTTTATACCCTGCTTGCTAGAGAACAGAGAACCATCCAAAATCATATTCTTCATTCAATTACCTACCTACCAAACTTGTTTGAAACAGAAACTTGCAGAGTTCCAAAAATTTGCTCTCAACTCTCTCTCTCTCTCTCTCTCTCTCTCATATTGCTTTGTTTCATACATTCCTTCCTGGGCTCTTTCACAACAAAGACGAGTAGACATGGATGTGGTGGGGATCTTTATCTCTCCATTGCTTCAAGCTGTGATTGACAAGTTGTTGTCCCCTGATTTAATCAACTTGGCGCGTCGTGAGGGTGTCAACACTTCCATCAAGAAGCTGAAGAAGTCATTTGAAGATATAAACGATGTTCTTGCTGATGCAGAGGAGAAGCAGATATCCGACAGGGCTGTCAATAAGTGGCTGAAAGAGCTCCAGCATTTGGCTTATGATGCGGACGATGTGCTGGACGAGTTTGCCACTGAAGCTCTACAAAAGAAGCTGATCAGGGCAGAGACTGATGCTGATGTTGATGTTGGTGAGGCCAGCACATGTAGGAAGGTACGACGATTCCTCCTTTCTACTTGTTGCACTGGTTTCACTCCAAGTACGATTTCATTCAATTTCGCAATTGAGTCCAAGTTGAGGGAGATCAATGTTCAGTTACAAGATGTTACTACAAGAATTAAGGAACTTGGTTTGGTCAAAAAGGCTATTGGGGGGATGAAGTCTACAAATGTGTGGCAGAGACCAGAAACTACATATTTGGTGAAAGAGCCTTGTGTTTATGGCAGAGAAGAAAAGAAAAAAGAGATTATCGAATTGCTTCTCAGAGATGCAGCAACTCAAAACAAAGTCGATGTCATTCCCATCGTGGGAATGGGTGGGGTTGGCAAGACTACTCTAGCTCAACTCATTTGCGATGATAATGGTGTCAAAAACCATTTCGATCTGAAAGCGTGGGTTTGTGTATCTGACGAGTTTGACGTTAAGAGAATAACAAAGGCAATTTTGGATGAATTCACTCTTGATTCATGCAATTTGACAGAGTTAAATGCCCTTCAACGTAAACTTGAGGAGACAGTGACAGGAAAAAAGTTTTTGCTTGTCCTAGATGATGTGTGGAAACATAGAGATGAAGAGTGGAGTTCACTACAATCTCCGTTTCGAGCTGCAGCACATGGAAGTAAAATCATTGTGACAACGCGAATCACGACTGTTGCACGACAGGTGGGTACAATTGAACACCACGATTTGAAAGAGTTATCACCTGATGATTGCTGGTCAATCTTTGCCCAACATGCATTCAAGAATATAAATATTAGTGAACATCCAGAATTGGAATCAATTGGTAGGCAAATTGTTGCTAAGTGCGGAGGCTTGCCACTGGCAGCAAGGTCCCTCGGTGGCTTATTACAATGTAACCAAAATGAGCATGAATGGAAAATGGTACTAACTAGCAATATATGGGATCAACCATACGAGGAAAGCCACATTCTCCCATCACTAAAATTGAGCTATCATCATCTCCCTTCCCATTTGAAGAGGTGCTTTGGTTATTGTGCAATTGTCCCAAAGGATTACGAATTTGGGAAGGATGAATTAGTCTTGTTATGGATGGCAGAAGGTTTAATTGAACACCCAAAAGGTGGAGAACAAATAGAAGATGTAGGACGCAGGTATTTTCACGAATTGGTGTCTAGGTCATTTTTCCAATTGTCAAGGCATAATAAATTGCTATTCATAATGCATGACCTCATCAATGATTTGGCTCAAGCAGTTGCAGGGGACATCTGTTTTAGGTTGGAGAATAATTTAGAGGGTGGCAAGCAGAACAAGATTTCAGATAAAGCTCGACATTCATCTTATGTTGGTAGTGAATATGAAGGAATCAGAAAATTCAAAGCTTTCGATGATGCCAGATGCTTACGAACCTTCTTAAGGTTTTCGCCGAGTGCATTCAACTGTACAACAAGGTACTTGTTTCATGATTTGTTGCCAGTGTTAAAGTGCTTACGTGAGTTGCGTTTGTGTTGTTCTGGGATAGATGAACTACCAGATTCCATTGGAGATCTAAAGCATCTACGGTACCTTGATGTATCCCATTCTCAAATTAGGAAGTTACCCGATTCGGTGGTAACTCTCTACAATTTACAAGTCTTGTTTTTGAAATTTTGTGTTCTACTTGAGAAGTTGCCTCTAAACATGGGGAGGCTAGTGAACTTGCGCCATTTTGACATGACTGGCGTGGATATTCCATCATTTGAAGAGATGTCGCTACATATAGGTAAATTAACTAATCTCCAAACATTGTCAAATTTTATAGTGGGTAAAGATCGTGGGCGTAAAATAGGAGAGTTGAAAAACCTATCACATATTCAAGGGGATCTAAAGCATCTACGGTACCTTGATGTATCCCATTCTCAAATTAGGAAGTTACCCGATTCGGTGGTAACTCTCTACAATTTACAAGTCTTGTTTTTGAAATTTTGTGTTCAACTTCAGAAGTTGCCTCTAAACATGGGGAGGCTAGTGAACTTGCGCCATTTTGACATGACTGGCGTGCATATTCCATCATCAGAAGAGATGTCACTACATATAGGTAAATTAATTAATCTCCAAACATTGTCAAATTTTATGGTGGGTAAAGATTGTGGGCGTCAAATAGGAGAGTTGAAAAACCTATCACACATTCGAGGGGCAATATACATATCAAGAATGGAGAATGTCAATGGTGTTAAGGATGCAGTGGATGCCAATTTAATGTCTAAGGAGGAGTTAAAAGAGTTATCACTAGAATGGGATGAATCTCGTAGTTCACAGAATGACATAGTTGAGAGGGATGTGCTTGACGTGATGAGACCTTTCAAATTGTTGGAACGACTCACCATAAGTGGGTATGGCAGTACAAAATTTCCAAACTGGGTTGGAGATGTTTCATTCTCTAAAATGGTGTTCATGCGATTAAAAGGTAGTAAATATTCCACATCTTTGCCACCACTTGGACAACTACCCTTGCTTAAAGACCTTTCCATTGAAGGAATGAGTGCAATAAAGCGCCTGGGTTATGAGTTTTATGGGCAGCAGCATAGTGCCAAACCTTTCCCCTTTCTAGAGAGACTGAGCTTTGTAGATATGCCAGAATGGGAGGATTGGTCTGCTTTTGAAAATGAGGGAGTTCAGCCGTTCGGTCATCTCAGTGAGCTTTCCATCATAAATTGTCCCAAACTTGTTGGAAGATTACCAAATGATCTTCCTTGTCTCAATTCTCTCAAAATTGATGGTTGTCCGCAGTTGTTGATTGATGTTTCGAGCCTCATACAACCATCACTTGTATCCTTGTCAATGAATAATGTTATGCTCCCAAGCCTTCCAGCACTCTTAGGGACGAAGAACACAATTGAACTTGGTTCCCTCACCTTAGATATTAGCCATGTTACAGTTCTGGACTCCCTCTGCAATCCAAGCACAACTGATGAAGAGTTACTGGCTAATAAAATGTCTACGCATTTGGCTTCAATAACTGCTTTGAGCATTTCTAATGTTGAAAAACTGGCGTTCCTACCGACATGGTTTACTCGAGATTTGATGGGACTTGAGGAATTAAACATTTGTAACTGCCAAGAACTCATAACATTGTGGCGGAATAAGGTGAGAATACAAGTATGTCTCCCTTCCCTCTGCCATTTGCAGATTTCTAATTGCCCTAAACTGGTTTGCTTGTTTGAAAAAGAGCAAGAAAAAGGAGGAGAAGGTTCAAAAAAGCAGCAACATGAGGGGCTGCCTTGCATGACAAGACTTGAGGTGCTTAGAATCTATTGGTGTGGAATGCTGAAGAAACTGCCACAAGATCTGCACACATACACATCTCTTGGGGTGCTTAGTATCTATAATTGTGCAAGTCTCATCTCTTTTCCAATGAAGGGTTTGCCATCTATGCTGAGAGAACTTATGGTTTCAACGTGTGATGCTTTGCAGTCCCTACCCGAGTTGATGACACTCAATAATCTGCAAGAGTTGCAGGTTTCTAAATGTGCATCACTCACATATTTATTGTCAAGAGGTGGGCTACCATCCACACTAAAACAACTTCAGATTGACTCGTGTGAAAATCTGGAGTCACTTTTTGCAGAGGAAGGGATCAAATTTGATCGTCCATCTCTTGAAACTATTCATATCGTATTTTGTGGGAGTCTAAAATCCTTACCTGAAGCCAATAATCTCAGGAATCTCAGTAAATTGTGGATATATGATTGTTATAATCTGGAGCCCCTGCAACTTGTTGGTCGTGATGAGAACAACAACATCACTTCACTTCAAAGTTTGTATTTCCTGAATTGCAGCTTAGGAATGGTCTCCTACTTTGTCAAGGAAGGAAGTTTCCCCACCAACATCACTTTACTTCGAATCGGGAATTTGAAAGTGGACGACGTCGGTCAACTTCCACTTCCGCCTCCATCTCCATTAGAGTGGGGTTTGCACAAACTCTCTTATCTTACAACACTCCAACTTCGAGGCAGAGGTTGGCCGTGGGGAGATACGGTGTCCTTTCCAGAAGAAGGGATGTTCCTGCCCACCTCTCTCATCAATTTGTTCATCGACAGCTTCCCAAATCTGGAAAGACTCTCTTATGAAGAGTTTCAAAACCTCACCTCTCTCCAAACACTTGAAATCTGGAGTTGCCCTAGGCTCGCGTCCTTTCCAAAGGAAGGGTTGTCGCCCTCTCTTTTGTATCTACGGATCGATTCCTGCCCTGAGCTTGCGACCTTTCCAGAACAAGGCTTCCCTCCCTCGCTTTTGTCACTGTGCATCGGGCGATGTAATCCAATACTAAAACAGAAATGTGAAAAGGGGAAAGAATATTGGCCCATCATCCAATACATTCCTGAAGTATGTATATTTTAAGCAGCCACCTGCAAGGTATAAACAAACAAACACAAAATCTGTCCTACCATTTTTATTTATTTATTTATTTATTTATTTTCTCATTACCAATATCATCTCAAATTTTTATCATAACTGAGAGTTTACTATTTACTTCTTTTGGATCATAAGGGAGTTCCAGTTTGCTGTGAATGTTGAAATTACCAATACATTACTGATTAATTAAACACAGTGCTCTATTTTTCAATTCATTCTTTGTCTTTTCCTTTCAAATATTTCCTTTTCTCTTAATTTTCCCTTAATAATGAATGGATAATTTTCATTCTCATTTGTTATTTTATCTTATATTATTCATAGGTGCTAATGGAAAAATTTCCCTATTCGTTATTACTGCCACTAGCAATCTTTACACATTTCTACAAGGTAAGATTAACTACTTTACCTTATAATCCAAGCCTTTCTACGAAAATTATATTGCTATAAAGAAAATGATCTCCTATGTTTGATTGCAACTAAGTTGCAATCAAACATAGGAGATTAATTTCTATTATGTAGAATGGTTCACTTTTACTTTAAACACATTAGTTCTCTAATTCATCCTCTTTTTTTTTTTCTTTTTTGATAACTCAGGATATCCAGGCCAGCTTGCGCGCATCTCGACGAATCTCTAGGGGACCACTCCCATTGTCCACTAGCATGGGGCCCAATTAAAGCTAGAGCAAAGCTCCATATGGACTAGCCCAACACAAGAGTTGATAGCACCTAAGAGGTTTTGAACCTGAGACCTAGAGAAGAGCAAACTCTTAAGTCCCAAGCCTACACCACTAGGCCAACCCTTGGGGGTGTTCTCTAATTCATCATTGTCACCAACTCACGCAAAAATATTTTTTTTCCAGGCTCTTTATTCGAGCTACACGGTGCCTTTTCTCCTGATCTTTCATTTTTCCTATACTGTTGCTTTAATTCCAGGTAATTGGCAGAAAAAATTTCCATTGTCTTTAATTTCATTGTGTTATCTATTCATAGTCCATACCGTGGCTTCCGTTTCATTTCAATAGAATTAGAATTTTGTATTCCATTTTTGCAATTTTTTGGACTTAGTTGGGAAATGAAAATTTGGTGTGTCGCATTTATGCAAAACATATAGCAGTGCCAGAGACAGCATAATGTATCATATCCATGGCATCATGAAATATATTTTGGGAAAATTAATCTATTACATCAACAATTGAAATGTTGACATATGATGTATTGGCTAGCTTCATAATGTTTCCAATGGTTACAAAATAAATGGTTCAGTAATGTGTTAGTTCGAGTTATTTGTTGTTTTTTGAAATTGCCAAGACGAGAGCTAACGAGTGGTTCCATTTCACTTGGAATGCTAATATTGTTTTTTATCTACTTCATGAGTACGTTCGCCTACTCCACCAATAGAGATACACCTCCATGAGCATCGAGAATATTTTTAACCCTAAGGAGGACAACTTCCTCAGTCTGTTAAAACCTACAATTGCAGCTTGTAAAATTGTGCTTTTCAGTATTTTTTCAATGTTTTGTTGAAAATTTAAATAGAAAAATGTACTGACTATTGTCATTACCTTTTTGTTCTCAGGGCTTTGTTGCTGTGGAAACAAACTTTAGGATGTATGCACGCTCATCATCTAAACTGCACCAAGAGTTTTTGTGCCTCTTCTGAAGGTATGTTAGAAATTTGCATGATAAGTACTTTGGATGCTCTATTCTAAAATATGGCTTTATCCAGTAATGTAGAAAACTCTCATAGGTAATAAAGGAATAAGAGTGATAAAGGAGTAAGAGATATTTCAAGATAATTGAGAAGAAGTCCTTTCCATAATTAAAAAAAACCCCTCTCTAGCACACTCTTAGGCAAGACTTTTGATCATTTAAATTTCCAGACCTTGCAAAAAATCACTTTGTGTTTTTAAGCCTTTCTCCTTGCATGCTATTTTACATTGGACAGTTAGGAAGCCACCTTGTCTGGTCAAAATCCATGTGGGCAAAATGTCAATATGGAAGAATTGGTCATTTCATGTTTTACTTAATAGAGTAGCTAAGACTTTACAATAATAGTTAATAAAATGATGAAGTTTGGTCCTTTTTCCTTTAAGTGAGCTTGAGTTTGGTTGCTAATTTCAATTTATTTGTTATTAAGCAAATTCACTTGCCTTCTCATCCCCACTACAATTGTGTTCAGGTATATTACTTTGAACCTCTGATCAACTTATGGTTTTGTTTCCTTATATTGCAGGTAGCTGTTGAGGATGCTTGAGGCTCTGCACAACAATATGGTTTGTCATGAGAAAACTTAAAAAAAATAGTAGTGCAGGCAGAAATACCCATGCACACCTGACAATTTCCTCGTCATCAAAGGCAATAGATTCTATATGCAATCTACAAGAAATGTCTGGTGTGTGATGATTTGGAATGTGTGACGGATTCCATGTTGACGCTAAAGTTTGCTCCCTTATTGATGAAAGCATTGGAGTCAGGAATGGAATGAAGCTCTCATCACATGGTGCTTTTTGGATTTTGAAGCTGAGTTGATATGTAAAATCCCTTTTTTCCCAAGGCTTGGTAATGACATACTGGTTTGGCACTCTACTAAAAATGGAGTTCTTTTTTTTTTTTTTGTTAATCAGCATATTATTGGGAGATGGATTTGCAAAGAAGAGAAACATGGGTCAGTTCTTCAAATGGTAAGCAGTAGCTCGTAGCCACCTAAAAAGGAATGAGTTTTGAATGGGCATTTTGGTAGAAGATTTAGCAGCTGAAAGTTTTGAATAAAGTCAAAATGTTTGGATGGAAAATCTGTTCGAGTATTCTTCATGTTCAATAAAACTTGAGTACGTGCAAAGTAATTCAATTTGATGACTGCTAACTTGTACATTAGTGGCAAATTAGAGCTGTTTTTGGTGGTTTGAGTAAGCTTACAATGTGATTGACAATGTTAGCATTGTAGTCATTCACTTCCACACCCAACAGAATTTGTGGATCAATGCAATTCTTGGCCCTTTTTAAGTCTCTTGACACATCTTCATTTGTAGCTCTGCTTAGGTAGTTGATTTATTAGAATTTAACTTTCTTCTAGTCTTTGCCATAGGGGCCTGAGTGTTCACATGGTATTCACTTTTCAAGAGCATTCTTGAGAGACAGTATGTTTTGTTACTTGCTCATATAAATAATGTAGAAGCACAATTACCTGAACAAAGTTCTGATCCTGTATTCAATTTAGTTGATGTTCTGAGGCAAAATGCTAGTTTGGCACTTGGAACATAATACCTACCTGCCCCCCCCCCCCAAAAAAAAAAAAAAAAAAAACCATGAGATGGCTTCTCCTAAAATTTGTACCTCTTTCTTTTTTTATTAAATATGTGGACATACATATTATATATATATATATATATGTATATTCAAAGCCTTAATCTCATTTATCTCTTCTAATTTCTTCCCATTACTATCATAATGGCTGATAATATTATTCCTTATTCTATAGTTATCAACTTTAATCTTATTTTGGCATTGTAGTTGCAGAATGATTCTTTTGAAACATATGGATTAATATAATGCTGAAGTGCCTCTTGTGTTTCTATGGCTATATGGAGAGTTAAAACACGTGGATCTAATTTAGTTTCTCTTTGGTTCTAATGACTCTCAAACAAAAGTTAGAGTAGTGTTTTTTGTTCAATTTTTTGAGTCAAGTCTTTTAATTTTAATATTCATTCTCAACACTCAGAGAATTTGATACTTGTTGAATTTTGAAAAATCTCCTTGATATAACCATGCTTCATCCAAAAATTCAAGAATTTGATAAGTTTTCTCAATTTAATTTCGGGCATTTAAACTAACAATGGGAAACATTAGGACAATGATATTTAAAAACTTTAACCCAGTGGGTATTATTAACTAGTACTCTGGCTAACTTGCTGGTTTTTTTCTTTTTTCTTGTTTTTTAGTCCAAGTAAATCAAAACCCTTTGGCATTAAGGTCTTTTGTATGTAGTTCAACAAGGCAACCATTGAACTCATGTATTGCAGCTCATCAAGATTGCTATTTCCAGTGTTTCACTTTGAAACTTTAAGGTTGTGTTTAAATTAAGAATTCTAAGATTATGTGGATGGGGAGAAAAATATATAGGGAAGGGAAAAAATTTAGCTTCTATTTCGTACATTTTTTCCCTTATTTTTTTTCTTTCCTTCCACAAATCTCCCAAAAATCCTTAATCCAAACGCACTCTAAGAATATCCTCATCCCAAGTGGGGGTAGGAATCATGTCATGTCATGTCGTGTCATCGCGGGTTCATGTCTAAAACACCCAACACTAACATGATACACTAAAATGATCCATTTAATTAAATGTATCAAATATCATAACATTGACCTACCTTACTTGAGGTCGTGTCAATCCGAACATGGCACGGCTAACATGATTAGTATGAGAATTTATTTTAGATTAGAAACAGTTAGTACAACCTAATTCAAGCAAAGTTGTTTTAAATCACATACAAGGGTAACTTATTTAAATATTTACACCCACAACATAATATATAGAAGAAAATACATTGAAGTGTGAATAACTTAAAGTAATTGCACTTATATGGAGATGCGAATCGGAGCAATGTGAGAAGTGTATCCCATGCCACATATTTCATGTGTAGCTCGTTACTCTTGTATCACTTTCATTGATTTTGTATGTTGGTAAGGTGATTGTGGGGGGAGCCATCACATTTGTCTTCATTTATGCAGTTTATGCATTTGTTGTTGTTGCAAATGAGATTTTGAGGAAACATGCTCTGAGGTTGACATTGGATGTTGTTCCATTGTTGCTTCTTGTCAAAGGAAGTTCATTCTCTCAAGGGAACCAAGAGGATGACTCTATCTGTAGTGCTTTGCTTGACATGGACAGAGAAAGTGATACAATCGTGTCCCGTAGTGCATTGCCTCAGTAGATGTGGGTGTCAAATGTCGCAATATATTCAAATCAATCAGCTAAGATGTTTGACAATGAAAGGCTTGTGTGGGGTTGGATTGATGATGGCATAGAAACTGAGCACTCGTCATTCTCATGTTCTAAACTATGTTCGATAACGGAGTTGCCTTTAAGAGTACCACGCTGGTTGACAATTCCTCTAGTTGAGGAGGAATCTTGGTCAAAGGTCTCTACGCCGTATGCAGTGCTTCACTTGCTCCCATTCTTTTGGCATTTCTCTAGAGTACTCAAGACTCTGGGTTCTAAAAGAAGAAAGGTTGCTTGTATGCTTGGTATTTCCATTGGTTGTGCACTCAGTTTTCTTGCATTTCAGTACACTAGATCACACCGTCCACCTTAGAAGTTTTTGCTTCCATTGGTTTTGGGTGGATTTTTGATGAGTATCGTTTGGTTCTACATGATATCAAACGAGCTTGTTATTGGGTGTAATTGTAGGGGTTAATCTATTAATCCTGAGATTAACTGTATTGGTTTAGGGCAACTCGATGGATGATTTAGTGTCGAATGTTTCATTGGCAATGAATGGTGGGGATGGTATGTAGATTGCCTTGTCTGGATGCTATGCAAGTCTGATGTTCGACACACTTGGTGGTTTGGGGATCTCAATGCTACTTGGAGCCTGATCAGAGAAACTTGGCTTGTACATTGTTCCACAAGACAAAAGCCTCTTCTATACTATGAGATTTCTCATCTCAGGACCTATCTGGGCACTTGTTGTTTTACCAAGGAATGATATGTGTCCTACCAGGAGGCTTGGAGTGGGCCTCATTGCCCTGTACTTGATATTTCTCCCTGTTAGGGTAATCAGTGCCACATGAATCATATCATTGGTTGGTCTAAGTTAACATTTGATGTATCGAATATTCAGGAAAAGCAGGTTAACTACTAATATTTTTTAAGAAGATAATTTGTTTTTTGTCTTATCTATTATTGTCATCTTGAAGTTGTTTCTCACCAAGGACTAGGAGGAGAAAAAAAACTGATGATCATGATCAGTTACTGTACTTGCAAGTTGGAAATGAGTAATCAATTGTTGTACAGTTAAACTCACTATAAGAAAAAAAGGATATGGCAACGCTTTTGTATACTTTATTCTTATTTATAATTGCTTGTTTTGTACGAAGATAAGGTCATATATTTTGAATTTACCATCCTCTGCTTTTTTGTTGTGATTTCCCTGTTTCAATATAATTTGAAAATCAAACCAAACATGAAATTTGAAAACCAAATTTGAACATTAGAGGTTAGTAGTGTTATGTTAAAATTCTGTTAGTTTCACTGAAATTGCAAGTGCAATCTTTCTCTACTTTCAGGATTTTTGTAGGTTAATTAATGACTTCATTTTCATAGCAGAAAATGCTTATGCTAGAGAACAAATTCTTCTTATTTGGAAGTTGGATTGGTTGCTTAATTATTTTTTATTTTTATTTATTTTTTTTTGGGGGGGAGGGGGGGTTGGACTTTTTTGGGTGGTTAAAATTAGTTGGATTTTTGTTTGTTAGGTAAGTAGTTGATATTCTATTATTGATGAAATTTTTTGTTACTTTTTTGAGTGGTTATGTATCTGCTTGTGATTAATTAGTCACTGTTATTTGTATAGTGTAGGCACCTAAATTTTCTATTAGGTGCAAAATCAAACCTCAAATTATAGTAGTGTTCTTTTGGCTTCCATTTCTGGTAAGTGTTATTCTTTTTTGTTATAGTAGTGTTTATGTTTATTTGTATTATCTTCAATGCCTGCTTGCTCACTTTGATATTCTCTCTTCACTCAAAATTTTGCATGAAATTTGTGATTTGAATATGTATATACATATGTAGTTATGAAGTTAATATTCCAGATCTGAGTATATATTGCAGATATGAAGGGGTATGAGCTTTGGAGTGGCCCCTTGAATGAGTTTTGGTTTTGATTAGCCTTGGATCTATTATATTGACTAATTGTTACTTTTTCCAGTGATGAAATTGGAGGACAAGCAAAGGTAGAAGGGTCAATAGTGTCCTCGGCTCAATGAGGTGTGTATATTTTGCAGTGCTTAATTGATTTATTTATACATATATAGCTGATTTTTTCTTGTTGCATTTCAAAATGGCAATTTTAATAAATTTGCACTAGCTTATAAATGGGTCACTCCAAAAGCTTGAAATTCCGTAAATTCTATTAAAAAAAATTAAACTAAACAACATTTACTTTGTTCGGTTTTGAGTGATTTTGAATTTTCAAAAACAGCTCGAGTTTTTTTATTTTTTTATTTTTAGATGTACCTAACTTGTATGCATCTAAAAAGTAAAATATTTGCAATTTTTTTTTTTAAAAAAAATTCAACAAATACAAAAAGATTAAATATATTGATTTAAAATTTTTTTAATAAATGAATTTTTAAAATATTTTTCTTAAATATTTTACTTTTGAAATGTATCTAAGTATCTAGATTAAGTGAATTTACAAAGTAAAATAATTACAAAAAATATTTAAAAAGTTCACTAAAAATAAAAAATAAAAAAACTCAAAAACTATTTTTAATAATTGTTAATCAAACAGAGTGATTTAAACTTCTCAAAACAATAAATTGTGGATTTGTTTTTGATGGAGTCTCTTAACTTTTTGATGAGATTAATTTATATTAAACAAAATATTAGTAACAGAAATAATTTTTTTTTAATTTTTTTTTGATAGTTTGATCAATTCCTCGGACTCCATCGGTTACTATGTGGAGTTGACCCTGAACAAGATACATCTCCACTATTTGGCAACGATGGTGGGCCTTGATCACATCAACGACTACGATTGAGGTGGCGCTGCTCTAGTCATCCTCTATATATACGCGAGTGTTGTCATGCGTAGCTGAGAGATGACCATGAAAGGGCATTAGAGATGATGGGGGGTAAAATGTACTGTTTTATGTCATTTCTATGTTGCACATGTCATTTATGCATTTATTATGAAATTTTTCCCTCATCTTGCTTGTGACTTGGGCGTTGTGGGCTAGTGTGGCTTCAGATGTCATGGTGCGCTTCATTGCAGTGCTCAACATCATTCTGGTGAGTTAGAGAGGATTTTGCTAGAGGGCCCCTTTCGTCGATCGAGTTTGGTATTTGGGCAGGCGGGGATGCGAGGATGCAGGTAGTCTATAGGGATGGCCGCCCCCAAAGTGCTTGCTGTGGTACCAGATTGCATGTAAACCACTGACATCATCACTCAGAGGGCATCACACTAGCCATAGAGGGTTCTATGATGTGGCATCTAATTCCTTCATGACCACGACCTCCCTACTAAGTGAAGGCGGAGAAGCATATATGACACAGTACAATCCCTCCATCCCCAATATTATATGATCAATTCACCGCACATGCACCTTGTGTGAGATAAGAGTGTTTGTTTGTGTGTGACTACTTCACTTTTTTATGAAAAATGCTAACAACTCATCCTTAACTTGTCTAGCCAGTACATGAGTCTCGATTAACTTTAGAAATACAAAGAAAATCAAAATCCTTACTAATTAGCTTAATATCATTAATAATAGTCGCAATGCTCCAATCAAGGATGCCTTGCCCTTCCAAAGTAGATATCAAAACTTGACTATCCGTGAAAATGGAGATGCCTAATCGATGTTGGCCTTTAGCTTAATGAAAAGCTTTCCAACAATGGAGAATATAGCGATCACGGTTTCCCTTTCTTTGTTTGTTGTACTCCGGACTTGGTTCCGTGGAGTTGGTGGTTGTATATCTTATTGTCATCCTTTAATTCCATATGTTTGAGTTTTAGGATGTGTTGGGCGTGTTTCGAACAGGTAGGTTGAGTTTTGGTCTCAAGTGTTGTTACCCAGAATTTTGGTGTTACGCTCGAGCGGGCCATTCGGCGCTCGAGCGGAGTTTCATTTTTGGTTGTCCGCTCGAGCGGGTATTATTGCGCTCGAGCGGGGTTTACACACTCCCAGTATTTCGTGTCCCTGCAAAACTTTTGCAGGTGTGTTTTTCACACTCGAGCGGGTTTCCTATGCTCAAGCGGGTCGCGCTCGTGCGGGTAGTGCTTTGTCTGTGAAAGTTCTGGGAGGGGGAAATCCACGCTCGAGCGGACTGGTTTTCATGCTCGAGTGGATGTATTTTTATTCTTATGTCTTGGCGCTTGAGCGGGCCTTCTTGCGCTCGAGCGTATCCAGATTTTTGTGCTTGACGCTCGAGCGTTATATTCTCCGCTCGAGCGGGTCATGCGTATAACAGAGGATAGCTGGGCATTTTTGAATCACTTTTTACACTTCCTTTCTCTCTCTCTTACTTTCCCAAAATCGATTTTGAGAGCTCCTCTCTCTAGAAAATACCTTCTCTCTAGGGATTGATCTAGTTAGAGTGTTCTCCTTTCCTTCGGCCTTTGTAAAAAGCGTGTTGATCGTCGAGGGCTACATTTTGATCCGAAAAGTTTGGTATTTGGAGCATTTTGAATTTCTTCGTTTTCTCCATTTGAGCTCTAACTTCGAAGTAGGGATATCCTACTCCATCTTATGAGCTTTGTCTTAAAATTTTGGCATTTTGATATGTTGGGGGTCGTTGGGTAATTTTGCAAAGGCTTGGGGTCATTGTGTAATTTTCAAAAGATGGGGTTTCAAACATATAAACCTTTATGTATGTATTATATTGGAAATGGACTCGGTGTTGGTTTATTGATGGAAAACGGAACCTTAGGATTGGTATTGAGATTTAGGGAAAAGCCCTAATTGTTTCGATAAATTAATTTGTATAGTTAATTTTGGAAAAATGAGGACTTGAATAGGAAATATTCAAATTGGAAGTGTATGAGATTAAAGGGGTGTAGTTGGATTAATTTATCGCTCACCTAGATGGAATGTTGATATGTTATCCATTTAGTGCATTTATTTTCTGTTTAGAAATAACTATTTTGGGCTATCGGTGGAGGATAGTCTTGATTGTTGTAGACAATGCATGATGATTAGGCAAACTAAAACTAATCAATGGAATGTGTCATCGAATATGACGGTTGGAATAATACATTAACCTTATGTATTGATTGATTGTGCATATGATCTGTGTTTATAAACATTGTGTTGTGTGGGAGGAGATAGAGGATGTACTCCACGGTTTAGGAGAAGATAGGGGATGGACCTCTAAACCGGAAGTTGTTTTCCATTGATACAGCACTACAATGTGTATCATATGTGAAGTATGGAAGTGTTTTTTGTTATATTGATACAGCACCAAAATGTGTATCATTTGTGAAATATGGAAGTGGTTTTATGTGTTATTGATACAGCACCAAAATGTGTATCCGTCATGATTTTCGAAAGTATTTTAGTGATGAGATACTATCTCATTAAATTGTTTGGCCAGGTTCTGAGCCTTGTTTTCAAACTTAAAGTTGAATTAGAAATGGAAACCGAAGTGTAACAAGGATATGATTGTCATGAAACTGTAATATAACATGAATTGAAATATAAGTGTGGACCATCTATCGAATGCTATTGTTTTAGTCATTATTTATAGTTGGTTTAGTATATTTCTACTGGGCTGTGGCTCACCCTATATGGGACATCATTTTCAGGTACAGGTAGCATGCCACCTCCAAGGACATAGCTTGGGAGGCTTGAGACTGTTGGGCAGTTTTGTGTTTTTGATTGTATTACATGTATATCAAGCCAAGGGCTTTCTTTGTATAGAGTTAGTACTCTCTTTTTGTAACCAAGTGTTGACTTTGAAAGTTGTAAGCCCATAGGGCATTTACTTTTGATGTCAACATGTAATACATTTTGTAAAGACTACTCTGATGGAATATATTTATGCTTTATTCACTTATGTTTAAGCATGCTATTGTTGGATGATTTATGAGTTTATTTTGAGGGCGTTACAGAGAAGGAAGCTACATCCTAGAAGCATAATCTTGAACCCATGATTGATCTATTTTGAAACAAACACATGACACGCCCACACTTTGATCAGCTGCCCGCCATGAACCATCTATGACAAAAGTCTACACCTAGTAATCTGTCATATTTGAGAGAGAATTTGCAAGCATACATATATCATCATTATTATAAACATCAGCAGTAGATGTTGAAGTATTAAAGCCTGCTCTAAACATGGGAATGATCTTCAAGTAACATTAGAGGTGAGCCCTTAAGCAAGAAGATTTGCTTGTAATTGTGTCATATTCATGCCTTTAAACACATAACTATTTCTCTGACGCAAAATGGCCCAAAGAATAGCAATGGATTGGACAATAATTTTATGCTCCCAAACCTTCTTCATTTATTGTTTGAACCAATCTAGAAAAAACATGGGATTTCCTCTAGAAAAATTCAAGCCTAATGAAGAAGCTCGCCAAACCAATTGAGAATACTGGCATTCAAAGAAACAGTGTTCCATAGTCTCAATCCCTTTATCACATCATGGACAACTAGGCTTAGTGGAAACTTCCCTCCCATATAACACCTATCGGACTGAAAAGATATAATGAAGACACTTCTATAAGAAAAGTGTCCACTTAGGAGGTAGTCTAAGATTCTATAATCACTTTCAAATGGGATCACCAGATTGGTGACGTGTACCCCTACGGCCTAAGCGGGCTGCATATAAATAAAAAGCCTTAATGGTGTACTGGCCGGATTAACTAAAGCTGTAAATAATTTGATCTCGCGAACGCACCACCGGTAAATGAATAACCCTAATATAATCTATGCACTCCAGTGGAAAGAATACTCTTAGAAGATCGATCCTCCAAGCATGATTTGGAGTATCAATGAAGTGAGATAGATTCAAGCATGTTGGATTATGAATAGTTGAAATCCATTGATCCTCCAAAGAGGATTAATTAACTCACCATCCCTTACCACCCATCTTATCTCCTGTTTTAACAAGTCTCTTGCTCATAAAATTCCTTTCCAGCACCATGAAGCATTGCTCTTGACAGTATCGATAAGAAAAGATTGAGACGAACAATATTTCCCTCATAAAACCTTGGAGAATAGGGATTTAGGGTCAATCAAAATCCTCCACACGTTTGACTAGAAGTGCTTGATTAAAAAGACTTAAATATAATCATCCCTTGGTCTACTAATCATAAACTCCAAAAGCATTTGGTAATTATAATTAGTACACCGATGAATGACTTGAAACTGAGCTTTTTATTTAGTTTTTATGAATTATAATATGTTAAATAGTCTTCAGTCTCTAATCTAAACATCAATGAACTATTTTTGTTTTTTTATTTCTGTATTTCAATTTATATATGTAATTCATGGTTGGGATGCATATTTAATTTAATCTTTTGAAAATCAAAATAACATTTCAACTAAAATACAAGAAAAGGGCATGTTTTACAAGACACATCGGTTCTTTTTATAACTAATGAAAATGATAAAAATATGGACTTCAGAACTTTTAATGAAATAAAAGTGAGAATTTTACTAAATAATTATGCTTATGATCATTAATTTTCACTTAATTAAATTTTTTTAAATTGAAAAATGATAGTCGGTAGTTTAAAGGGGAAATATCATTTTAATGTCAGCACAAAAAATATTTTCAATTTAGTGGGTAAAGTTAATTAAATTTTCTTTTGATATTGCAAGGTTTCCACTAAATTAATATTACTTTTTTCCAACTTTTCATTAAAATGGCATTTCCCTTGTTTAGTTGGAGTTGGAGTAATTACTACATAAACTTATGGAAGTTGGAGAGAGTTCAACAATCAATTAAGAATCAACAAATATAGGATCTCAATCTACCTACTGCGTAGAAAAGAACTACCCAAAACAACCTACTTAAAAAAAAAAAATTAAAAATAAATAGATAAAACTTCAACCCTTCATCCATTCCACAAAAATACCACTGTATCAGCAGAGCGTTACACTACTACTAAATCAGCACCTCATGATTAAACCCTAAATCAGCACCTCATAATTTACACACAAATCAACAAGGAAGTTCCTCTCCAAGCTCCAATTTGCATATCCAGTATTCTCTCTCTAATAATAAAAATTCCTGGACAAAACAAAACCAAATTATTAGCAAAATCAATGGTATTTAATTATTGTATCAACCAAAATAATGACAAGTTACAATACAAAAATGGATTATTTGTGGGACCTATATAATTCTAAAACTCATGAAAAATAAAATACCTTTTATCTTTCAGGCGAATTTCTAACATAGTAAGATTATGGGTAAATTACATTTTTAGTTCCCAAATGAGCAAATTGGAACAATTGTTATACATTGAGGACCCGATTGACACAATTTAAATATTAAGGATCAAATTGAAACACTTTTATATATTAAGGACCAAATTGGCACAATTTAAGTATTGAGGACCAAAATAACACCACTTTTTGGAGACCAAAAATGTAATTAAGCCTAAAGAATATAGTAGGGCCCTAATCTTGGCAACTTCCCCAGAAACCAAAATAATAATAATAAAAAAAAGGGTGGATGGACAAAATTTAGGAGGGCAACACTATTGCCAAGGCAAAAATTATGTTGACAAAACTGCCATCCAAGTCAATTCTCCTGTTAGGAAAGGTCAACTATGACTATGAAGAAGCATGAAAAGAGAAAATGCGATAATAGCCACCCCAAGCAAGTAAAGATTCATTATCTAGATAATAGATTACCTGTAATTGCTGCTGACTAAATAAATGGAGAAACCCAGTTTCAGGCGATGCAACTAGTTCAATCAGCTCATCATGGCTTTCAGGTGGATTGCGCGACTCCACAAGCGAAACAAAAACCTGTGAATTTAGCAAGAAACAAAAACTAAAAACTACTATTCTTTACTATAGATCCTTTGTTTCTCTTACAAATTTCCTTGAGATTGCAAAGAAAAATATATATTATTTTTAGAAGGAAGAAATTGGCAAACTGGTAGAACGTTACATGGTAAACCAACTAATTTGAAGAAACACAAAAGGACTTCCGGCTTCCAGAAAACAACTTTACCTGCATACATCTAAGAATAACTTCTGGAATGCAACACCTTCGACAAAGGCCCTGCACGATGTATGTAGCTGGGCCTTCCGGGGAACCATCTTTGCTTGAATACCAGGCATCTAATCGTAAGATCTCCATTGTTACACCAGCTTGAAATCGAACAAGCTCTCCTGCATTCATACATTATATAACGCAGAAGAAAGTAGTCGTTTTAAACAATACACAACCTATAACTAGCAGCTCACATCTAGGTTTTGCATTGTGTTTACTTCCCATTTACCAAATACCATGTAGGACAGGACATATGATGTCAAACAGCTCCTAATAATTCCTGTTGGATGCCTTGAATTAGACTTTACCCAATCTGAATATAGAACCGAATTGTATTTCAGCAAATTTAGACAAGGACTTGAAGGTATTGGCGAATTTGTGACAGAAAAGCCAACAATCCAACTGCCAATATCCTTTTTGCAAGCAATGTGCAGAAAGGGCCAAGAAACTTTTGTAGACTCTCAAATTAGCATGTTCCACTATATCTTTCGTCATCCTTTGTATTTTAGTTACTTGTAAATTCTATTCAACACATAAACATGGCATGATTTTTTTGGAAACAAAAAAGTATTTAATTAAAGCCACAAGCTTGCAACTCTGTATACATGTTCATATATACATATAACAAACTTTTATTTTTTCAAGGTGTGTTTGGATGTCCCCTCAAATTTGATTAGTTCTATTGCAATCATGTGGAATCTAAAGTACAAGTTGATCACCTAAAAAATTCAGACATTGAGTAAAATAGGAGTCTTCAACCAATTCCAGTTATCAGATTTAAGTTTCAAAATAATGAATTTCGAAAGGATAATGCAGTTACAACCATCCCTTACCTTTAAAGCCAACAGCAATCACTATAGCAAGAATACCACCATCATTAAGTTCGTGTGGACCAAGTCCATCACCGTCTGTTGCCAAGCAGCGAAGAACAACCTCAATGCAGTAATTGTCTGTTGATGAGATAGAGACGCTCACCTTCCCATCAAGGAAAAATGTCAGAGACAAAAGATGTGTGTGTATATATATATATATAGAGAGATAGACCTAACTTAAAAAGCTTATCTGATGAAAAATAGTTTGGCAAAAGCAAATTTTAAATATTAAATAATTATGTCCTACATCACCTCATCAAACTTTGTAGATTATACAGGACTTAAGTATAAAGTGATTCATAAACAAATCAACAGATATGTAATGGTATTGTTTCAGGAACTGAAAAGTTTAATTTGAGTTGTGGTCAAAGTTTTTAAAGGTGAATGTGTAACTTGAGATTTTTTATTTCTTTTTTCTTGGCACCAGGCTGTCCAGGTCAAAGCCCAACTAATTCCTAGGGGTGCACACGCCCTCCGCAAGGAGTTTTTCGCAAGTGAACCATGGTTAATTCAAGGGCTTTCGTAAGAGGTTTCCATCCTTGAACCTTGGAAGGAGCACACCCCCAAGACCCAAGGCCTTGCCAACAAGCCAACCCCTTGGGGTTTAACTCGAGGGAAGGTGAAAGCCTTAAGGCATTGAGGCATAAGCATTCAAAATTTAAATTTTAATATTTAGTTATTAAATCAAATATTTTAAATTACTAAATAAATAAATAAAATTATTAAAATATAAAAGTGTAAATACTTTTCTCCACAAGGCATTAAACATTTCACTGTAGAGAAGGAAACCTGCCTTCATTAAAAGTGAAATTAACATTCTTAGCTTTAGTGATTGAACTTCTCACTTGAACATTAACCCTGTTTTTTAACCTTATGATATTTTTATTATATTTTTCTCTATATTTTTTTTTGTAATTAAATTACACTGAAACCTAATATTTTCTCCACTAAAATCTAATCAGAAACCATTGGCTTGCTCCCCATGTTTTCTCACATCCCACCTTCCACGTGCAATCATTTCCTATAACAAAAGAAACGTGGTGAACATGCTGTGTTCAATTTCTTTTTTTTTTTTTTATTTCTTTTCATTTTCTTTGATCATCTTTTACTCTTCCTCATTTTGCTTCTCTTCCAATTTCATAGCTTTCTCTCTATCCGTTTCATCTCTCTTTCTCTACACCTCTCATTCTCAAAACTATTTCTTCTTCTTTATCTCTATTCTTACTCCTCCTCCCGACCACCATAGCCACGGCTTTAATCCACACTATCGCCAACCCGCGAACTTCACCACCATTGGCGCACCGTCGGACCGCCACCACCACCATCACCTATTTCTATTATCATCTAGAACCACCATTCACAAAGTGTTGTAGGTGAAGAAAAAGAAGAAGAAGGAAGATGGAGGAGAAAGAAGCAAAGTCAGAGAAGTTTATTTTGAAGTTCAAAAGTTGGTTTTCAGCTTACTTTCGACATGCCAAAACCATCCATTCCGGGAAGAAGTGAGACAAATAGGCCATGTAAGATGAAGTACGAAGTAAGTTGAAGAGATTGGCGAAAGAATGAAGTAAAACCGTTAAGAATTAAGAAAGTTATGGGGTCCGAAAGATGGTTCGAAAAAAATGTCCGAGACGGTAGGAAAATAATCTTATTTTTCGTCAAATTTTGGAGATCCGACGGCATGCAAAAAGAGACAGAACAAGGCGTGTGAGTAATGAACCAAAAACTAGGCCGTGAAGTGAATCCAATGACAGAAAAATAAGATAAAACGGAGTTACTATGAAGAAGATACAAGCATTTGAACTGGTGACATTGAAACTAAAATTCTGGGTCTTCTGTTCGTGCATGCTGTGGCGGTTGGAGAAGATGAACTAAATTTTTATCCAGTGTTTCTCGGCTCATGGCGCTACGGTGCATCCTAGCCCATTTAGGTTAATCGAGTGGTCCTATGACTTTGGGGATGACCACCCTTAGGTTTTTTGACGTGTAGAATCCATTTATGGGGTTAGATCTTTCAAATTCTAAGTCTAAGATGATGATCAACAACTAAAGGTTCTAAGAGAATCCCATGAAAGATCAACGGTGAGATCGTGTCCGATTAATGTGAAATTTCAGCAAGACGATCATGGAGCCAAGATGATCATATCTTACGATCAGAATCATAAATCAAATTCGGATGATAAATCGTTAGCAACCTAACATAGTAAGAAAACTCTCATAACCGTCTCATTCTTTTTAATTGTTAAATTTTTAGATTTGTGTTCATATGTTAACATAGCTAAAACTTTAGGTAAAATTTTGTTTATAATTGTATGTAAATTGGTGATTGGCATGTTAAACATTTGAAGGTCATTTGTTTATTAGTAGCCTTAAAATCATGATATAATCTTGGAATTAGACTTGCATGTGTAGTTTATGCCATTAAAAAGATTATTAAAGATGTTATTTGGCCCTTTAAATCTGCCAGAAAGTTGTACTAATTTTTAGACAATTTTATACTCAAAATTTGAAAATGATTTCTTCTACAAAGTTGTTGATAATGATGTCTAGTTCATCCACAAAATTTTTCAACAATTATTGAGTTTTGTATGAATTTATACAGATTTTTAACCAAATCTGGAGCTATAGACAAATTTTGTTATGTGTTTGAAAAATCATTAAAAATTTTATATTAAACCAAATCTGATAATTTCTAAGCAAAAAATGAAATTTGAGAAGTCTAGTTTCATAATAAATTTTTAGATCATGGAATTTATTTATAAAATCTAAGTATGGAATTAATAAGGAAATGTGATAAATCTGTGTCATAAAATTTCTGGGAATTTTACAGAATTATTTATAGCTTATTTTTGAGAATTTATTTCTGAAAAATGACCCAAACATATTTATTGAATATTATGTACATTTTCACGAATTTTAGAACTGTATAAATAATTTATTTATAATTTTTATTACCTAAGGTATAACCTGAAAATTTCTAGACAGGTTTAAGATCATGACTTCAATTATTTATTCGGGTAAAAATCAGTTATTGTGTTGGTCCAATCCATCAAATATAGTAAATTAGTCATCCATGTATGGGTATATTGTGGCTTATTTAATATTGTGGTAGTCTAATCTTGTAAATTAAAAATCCATGCACGTGTGTGACTTTGGTTTATTTTCTTTGTATCCAAATTATTATTTCATACCATGGTTTAAATAAATTGTTTATTTAAATGCTGTACATTTATTTATTATTGTGTGACATGTGTAATATTTTATGTTGAGAATTTTAATGAGTTGGTATAACATTATTTGTGATTAAAAATTGGAATTATTTGTGATTAATATCAAAATTAACTGAAAGGATTAAAGGCATATACAAAGTTAACAATTGACGATTAATACCAGTTTTCAGAGTGAGCCTTGGTTTTAAAGAGTGTATGAAACCAAGGGATTGACGGTTAATACCGGTTGTTCAGGGTGAGCCCTGGTTTTGAGAATTCTCACGTAAATTGTGTTGCAAAACTCTAAGATGGCACGGGACTTATTTGAACCCTTTTCGGTATTTGGTTTTGGAATAAGGGTGGATGTGCTAGTGGCACACAGGGAGGGTACGTACCCCTGGCAGACCGTTTCCTTGGGGCAGACCACGGATGCTACTACTTGGGTATATAACTCCGGACGTGGGCATCCCTGGTAGTTACGGTTGCTAACACTAAAATATTTGACCAAGGGAGGGTTTCAAATTAACCGTTGCCATGCTTAGTGGTTGGTGAGTTCAATCTCTTTGGTGAGATTTCAAGTGTCGCCTAATTTATTAAAATTATGGAAATTATTTTAATGGTTGTAATTCATATTTACAATTATATTATTATCTCGTGTTTATAATCTCATTATTTTTCTCTTAAAAATAATGGTAGGTTGGTTATGTTTTCTTACTGTGTTGCAAAACTCATGGCATATATTTTTGTTGCCCTGGCGTTTTATGCCAGGTCTTGGCAAGAGAATAATTGAAGCTGAAATGGAGTTGACGCTAACGTAGAGCCTTGGCTGACCTGAAACCCCGAGTAGAGTCGAATAAATTATATTATTTTATATAGTAGCTATTAAGGACTTTATAATTTCATTTGAGGTTGTATTTGGATAATTTTAAGTTTTTACCTATTGTTATTTGGACATTTGGTTATGTACGAGAGTTGGGTTACCCTATTAAGTTGTCAACTTTTTGGTTTATTAAGTCATTTTGTTTATTTAATTTCCCTTGATATTTAAAAAAAATTTGGGGCGTCACAAATATAAAAGTGTAAATACTTTTCTCCATAAGGCATTAAACATTTTACTATAGAGAAGGAAACCTGCCTTCATTAAAAGTGAAATTAACATTCTTAACTTTAGTGATTGAACTTCTCACTTGAACACTAACTGTGTTTTTTCTTGATTGATCATTTCCTCTGATAGAATATAGTTGCAAAAATGGTTCTTTTTATTTTTTGCTTTTTTTATGTTTGTTTCATCTACTAGATTAAGTTTAACAATAGCCTAGCGGAACTTCTTCATATGCCCTCATATGCTTATGCGCAAAAAATGTACAAGGCTCACCTAAGGTGCATGCCACAGACTGTGATGCACAACCCTTTGGGAAACATAGTCTAAAAATCAAAGCCTTGATACGTTTTACCTTAGCCTCAAGGCGAGATGAACATCAAGGCGAACCTCAGTAAAGCCTTTTAATACTTTGGTTGTTGTATGAAACCCAAGAAGTAAGGATACAGACAACACAGCAAGTTCCAAATAATTAGGATACAACCACAACCGAGTCATGGCTAATTATCTGTTTAATAAATTAAAAACAAATTATTCATTTTTTTTACATAGCAAAATTTCTATGTACTATATGAAAATAATTTAATGTTTTACTTTTAGAAGTCACAATTCACAAACAATTTTGAAGTTGTAAAGGTTCAAGGTTCGAAATATTAAAAATTCCAAATGATCGATAAATATATAAATCCATACAGCTAATTATACTCTGAACTTTTCAAAAAACCTCAGGTTCACACTATATACATCATATTCTATGAAGCACAGACACTTCATCTAACCTAACATATCAGTGTCCAATACGTTTGGGACACAAACATGTTCGGAGATGCGGCAGATACGTGTTGGACACACCCTCTCCTATGTCCCATTTTTTTGACTTCTTTTGGTTGTTAGACACAACTCTGACATTCTCCGGACATGCGTGTCCCTTTCTAAAACAATCCTTGGACAAGATGATGGCCCTCAAAAAAAACCCCAAAACAAAACAAAAAAAGTCACTGATTTTGTTCATGTAGCCTGCAGGAACCCTAGATCTATGATTCAAAGAAAAAGTAGAACTAATCATATCAGCATAACTACAATTAATGTTAAAAAAAGGAAAAGGCAAAAGAAAAAGAAACGTACTTACCTGGGTCCAGTTTCGTCTTCTTTGACACATCTTTACTTTTTTATTAGGGTTTGTAATCTCTACATCTCACCAAATGGGCTAGGCTGCAAAACTCTCTTTTTTGTTGGTATGTTGTACACCTGTTATGGGATTTGTTGGCTGTTTTATTCTACATTTCCATCGATCCAATTCATTATGCAAGGCTTTGTATTTGGATCTTAGTTGCACAAAGCGGGGGCAGGGGACAGAGAGCATATAAAAGTTTCTAAGGTTGGGAATGCTGCCTACGGAAGCGTATATATATTTCATATATTAAACGCATAAATATATTATAACAATTAATTTTCTACGTAGACATAAAATATGAATAAGAATTTGTGATTGATGTCAATTATAAATTGTTTTTGTCAAGTATGAATACACATATTATATAAATAGAAAGTACTATCATTAGTTTAAGTTGTTTTTCTTTTGTTTCTTTGATATTTGTATGTTTTTCGTTTCTATCTCAGTTGAGAGCGAGTTTCTTCCTTGATGGAAGAGAGTTTCTTACTTGGGAGCACAGAAACACGTTTCTCATTAAGAAGCGCCACCTAAGTAGAAGTTTTTTGCTACTAAAGATTTGGATATCATCAAGCCCATCATTTCAAAGGATGATGCGTGGAAAAAAAAATGTTGCAAACAAAAAAATAAATAAATAAAAAAATAGTTTATTATTAAATAAAAACATATCCAATAAAAATGAAAAAAAATAAAACTCAATATTAATTTAGTATTTTCGAAATTCATGAATATTGTAATATATATTGCATATAAAATATATAAAAATGTCTTTTTCACGCGTCCATTGCTATGTCGTGTCTTGCTTATTTCAAGATTGTTGTGTTGGCAAATCTGAATCATGTTGTATATTTGTCACGTGTCAAGTGTTTGTGTCCATGCTTCTTTAGATCACAATAGATGGACCTAATCATGGATAAAGAGTAGTGACCTTCGGAAAATAGTGCATCTTAACACATTACGAGACTATCCCACTAAAAATAATGCAATCAAATTTGGCATATAGATCCTTAAGGCACAATGAAGCACAAAAGTGTAAAGCTATCCTCAAATTACCAAAAACTAATATACCATTTCATTTGGCTCCCATCCCTCTGAATCATATGACAGGACAAAAGGAAGCAACATACCATGAGCTGGTGATTTAAGACAACTTCCTCGCTTATTGAAGAATAAAGGGCACTCAGTAGTGTTGCACACAAGGTGGCATCCAGGCACATACATTCACCGGAAGGCAGAGAAAGCATTGCAATGGCATGCAATTCTAGGAACAAAGGTTCCGCTGATTCATAAACATGATCTCCAGTGGGAACCAACCATGAATTTTCTTTTCCTAGAAAATAAAATTTATCAATTAATTCAAACTTGAAAGCTCACAAGTACAAGAACATAAAATGATGTGACCAAGTCAAGAATCCGTAATAAAAACTACACAAATAAACATGGTGGCTAATCCAAAGATCTCTACGTGCAATGTTTCTAGCATATAGGTAAATCAACTCACTTAAGAGCAGCGAAAATGATGAATTTAGTGTTTCCTTGGCTGCTGCAATCGCTCTTTGCTTTTCCTCAACTGACAATTCAAGGGGAGAAACTTCCACATTCTATAACTCAACTTTCAGCCAGTTGCGATAAGTTGCATCATAGGAGTAGTACTAGCTCTAATTCAATGAAACATTGTACAAACTTGCAGTCTTAGAAATGATAATATATTAAGGCCAAAAGAAAAGCATAAACAACATTGTGTGCAATGAACAAATATAGATCTAAATAAACCATACCCAGTCTTGGAACTCTCTCAGGTTCTCAAAAATATCATGATCCTCAGTAGAAAGAAGAGTTTCAGTTGGCTGTTTCAAAGGTTTAGCAAGAAAACTTAGCAATGTGTGTGCACCTATGGGCATTGCGGGCACCCTCCGCATGGAAATAAGAGCAAACTCCCTAAACAGTATGTTGCTACAAACAATGAAAGATCAGTATTTAGCAAGCCAACAAGATGAGAACAAGAAAATAGGTAGGTAAGAAAAATAGTAAAGTAATTAGTCAAGCATGTATAAGAATAATGCAAGAAGAGACCAGAGTAGCAGACAATGGGAGAAACTAGACAAATTCAAACCACAAATAGATGGTAGAGCTTAATCAAAGGAACAAGAAAAACATGTTCAGAACCCAGAAGCACCAGCAACAAAGACAATATCACCAATGTAATTGCTTCCAATTTTAAATCAAGTAAAGAATAAAAATAAAAATAAAAATCACTAAGTTCTCATTATTCACTGAAAAGGGGCATTTTTTACATGATTTGTGGACATGTATACAAGTATCGAATGTCAATATTGGAACCAAATGTATGATATGGAAAACCCCACAATTCAAGACACGGGGAAATGGACTCCTATTTGTATTCATCTAAGTTCCATTACCCTTGTACTAAATACACTCCTGTAACTTAGTAGACAGCAGATGGGTAAAGAAAATTTATAACTGGGTGAGGCCAAAGCTAGTTAGCTAGTGTTGGTTCGACCTATTGAAAGTATTAGGAGAAAGTCAAATTTAAGTCCAACAGTATGGGTGCCGAAGGAAATTACCTAGTGTTGATTTCTCCAATATGGGGAACAGACTGAACTAGGAACAAACCTCACATTTGGCGTAGGTACGAACACAACCTTTGGTAATTTTTTAACAAAGTGACTATCCTCATGCCCAAACCTTCATACTCACACTTGATAGCCCACATTTATCCATAATTTGGTAGAGCCATTCACATTGATTATGTTAGTGCAATCTATGAAGCACCCACACTTTAAAACCAGTGTCGTAACTGTGTTGGACACGCAGGCATGGCGGGGACACGTATAGGACACGCCACATGCCGTGTCCCTCTTATTTAATTAATTTATTTTCAAGGGACACGTGGGGACACTTCAGGGACACGTGTAAGACACATGGAGTGTCCCCTTATTTATTTTCAAAACAAGTGCTTTTGATGAATGTTGAACATTCATCTTTTTTTTTTTTTTTTAGATTTAAATACTTAATAGATCATCTATAAAAAATAAAAAATAAAATAAAAACATAAATGATAAGTGTTAATTTAAAAGTTTTTTTTTTCAAAGAATTAGTGTTAGATTTTGTTAATTTTGATCCGTGTTCCATTTTTTGAGATCACCGTATCCCATGTCCATGTTCATCCTTCTTAAGTGCAATTAAGCATATAAAAAACAAATATAGGGATCATTCTGAAGTATTTATAATTCATTTAAAGCTTCAATAATTACTTGAGTACATGGGCATTCGGACCACTTGTTTCCAAGCTGAATCTGGGGTTATGCAAAAAAAAGCCTCTTTTTGAGCATGGTGTTTTATTATTGAACTGAACGTCCAGTTGCAGCCAATAAAGCACCAATAGGTGTGGAAAAAATTAAGAATTTCACTCTAATGGACGCATCCTTTGAAGACTCAAGAATTATAGTGACAGGAAAGGAAAGGAAAACCATTTTCTTTTACTGTCATGTACACGTGTTCAATTGTTACAAGAAAATGTAGGTTCCACCATAACTATTTTCTTTAAGGAACTAGTTTTCCTCAAATCCTTTCCTATAAAAAGTACAGGATTCAACATCGCAGAAAAGTTAAAATTATTTTTTTACATAAATTTTCTTTTGAACTGAATAAATAACGAGAAAATGAACTATTTCTATTTTATTTTCCTTTCCTTTCCGTTAAACCATTTTCTCTCAAGAAACATTTTCGTGTAACAATATATGCTTGACATCAAGTTGTTGAAGGGGGCTATTCTTTTTTGACTTTTTCTTTACTGTTTGTATTAAAACAAGACTTCATGAGACAATTTTTCTACATTTCAAGTGGATTCAAAGCCTCATAGACGGATCTACCTTCACAAACTTCACTTTCTAGAGTTGTTGCCAGGTGTTTCACATATAAAATATTTATCAAAAAAAAAAAAAAAAAAAAATTCCAACCAAAGAATTTTTTTTCTCATATTGCAAGGCCTTTAGTTTAAAGCTACTATTGAAATGTCTTTGTGAGAACATATTGTATATATTCTATATTAGGCATACTTTTGATTGTATATATTAAGCTTGATTTAGGCATGGTTGTAATTACGTTATATTAGGTATGATTGGGATTATGTAATCTTTGTATTTTCTTTTTAGTTTTAGGAGTTAGGGATTATATATACTGAGGTCTTGATGTAACTATATATACAATTGAATATACAAATTTCTCATAAAACCTACAGACTTGACATATAAAATCATGAAATTCCTTTACAAATAATAATGGATCCACTATGGAGAAAACAAGAACCAAAACATTTCAAATACCGTCATTTCCAAACATGGTTATTGAGAAGTTGGCAATGAGTAAACCAAATGGAAAAAATGGCTTCAGTGGGAAAAAAAAGTTAGCATCCATTGTAAGAATATCCATGAAGTGGCCCATATACCACTTGTTTGTTTTATTTATTTATATTATATATATTTATTATATATATTTAATTGGTTTAATGACTAATTAATTGGTTTAATGGCTAATTAATTAGTTTAATAGTTAATGGGTAACTGATGTCTGTTTAATATCCCATATGGTGGTTTCATGGGACTTTATAACTTCCTTGATGGTGGGAAGTTATAAAGAGTTACACTTGGATATGGGTCCAAGCCTATCTATATATATGCCTATGATAGCCATCAAACACATGCGTTGTTTTGTGCATAGAATAGGCTTGAAACTCTATCCCTTTCACTTTTCTCATATGGTTCTGTAAAAGTGTTCTATGAGTGGGCTTCTTTATACATTCAAGACTTGATCATTCAAGGATAAAGATTCAAAGGCTTGAACATCATGGCAGGAGGTATTCTTCTTTCTGAATTAAAATTAATTTAATTCTCACAATTGGTATAAGAGCCAACCTTCTGTTATGTTGTTTAGTTTTATTTCAAATTCTTACATCAAACTATTATCAATTTCATGAATCGAATCAAGCCTATTCTATGCATGTGGTATTTGTATATAAAATTTAACAATTTAGAATCATTGTAGAATCAGATTGAGTAATTTATATTGCATAACTTTTGAATATCACTATTAAAGAAAAAGGAAGCACTGTTGCAATAGTAGAGTCCATCGTGATTTGTGCTAGTGGTATTTATATTTATTTAGAATTTTCTCCTATTCTGAATCTGTTTTATTTAGGAGACTTGTTGTGTGTTATTAACTATTATTTTTGACACACACATTAAAGAGCAAAATATTTAATCTGATTCTATATCAAATCTAGAAATTCTCATACTTTTATTTGAATTTATTTGTAGAATTTTCGTAAAGAAATTTTAACACGCTGGTAAGGATGTTTTATTTATTATAGTTGCATGTTTAAATAGTAAGCAAATTCAATTGAATCTCATACAGTGAATTATAACATGTTCTTTTAGTTTTTATAATTTTTGAGATTCATTGGCATGTTATCTAAAATAATGCAATATTAGATTACATGCATTAAGGTAATTATTTATGCATTGAAAATTCATGTGAAATAAGAGTATGAATACACTATGTGTTGGGCTTATGAAATTTATTTTGGTCCAATTTTTAAGCAAATTCTAGTATAAGGTTGAGTTACATGTGTTTGGTCTTGGGATTTTTCATGTGATATTACTCTGATTGTATATATTATACATTATGTGCATTGAAAGATTATGTATTTGGGGAAATGGACTCCTATTGTATTCACTAAGTTCCATTACCCTCTGTACTAAATACACTCCTGTAACTTAAGTAGACGCAGATGGGTAAAAGAAAATTTATAACTGAGGTGGAGGCCAAAGCTAGTTAGCTAAAAGGGTTGTGGTTCGACTATTGAAAGTATTAGGAGAAAGTCAAATTTAAGTCCAACAGTATGGGTTGCCGAAGGGAAATTACCTAGTGTTGATTTCTCCAATATGGGGAAACAGACTGAACTAGGGAACAAACCTCACAATTTTGCGTAGGTTACGAACACAACCTTTGGTAATTTTTTACAAAGTGACTATCCTCATGCCCAAAACCTTCTATTCACCACTTGATTAGCCACATTTATCCTAATTTGGTTTAGAGCCATTCACATTGATTATGTTTAGTGCAATCTATGAAGCA